AATGGAGAAAACAGATATTAACGTGACAATTATAGTGGGTTGAATGGTGGCCCTCCAAAAGATATGTCCATACCCTCACTCTTGGAACCTGTGAATGTGACCTAATTTGAAAAGTCTTTTCAGATGTACTTAAGTTAAGGATCTCAAGATGAGAGCATCCTGGATTACCCAGATTGGCCCTAAATCCAATGACAAGTATCCTTAGGAGACACAGAAGAGGAGAAGACCACACAAAGACAGAGGCAGAGATGGGAGTGATGTGGCCACTAGCCGAGAAATGCCCACAGCCACCAGAGGCTGGAAGAGACAAGGAAGTCTCCTCCCCTAGAGCCTTCAGAGGGAGCATGGCCCTGCCAACACCTGGATTTTGGACTTTTGGCCTCCTGTGAGAAGTAGAGAAAATAAATCTCTGTTGTTTTAACCCATGTGATTTGTTGCAATTTGTTATATTTGCCTTAGGGAACTAATATAATAATTATGGAAATGAGATATAATTAAAAGTTCCATAAAAGCAGATAACAAAAGTACTTGACCTAAACTTGGTGGTCAGAGAAGCCTCCCAAGAGGTCATAGACAAAGATGCTAAAAGAATATTCTAGAAGATAAAATGGGTCCAGACCAAAAAGACAATTTTAGGGGTAAATAAGAGAGGACACTTTTCAGTGCCTTAAGATTTAATGTGTGCTAATATGGAATTAATATGATTATGCAAATTAAATCAAACACTAGTTGACTACAAACTTGGTATCAAGATTTCTTATTCGAAACCCGTTATGTGACACATAAGTGCACTGCCTAACACTTTTCCAAACCAACGAAACTTCAGAGTCACTTAGAGCAGGACTGTCCTCTCCCGTGCTTCTCTGCTACCTCGGGCAGCTGGGAGGCAGGCCATCCGTTGCCGAGTTCAGAAGCACCTCAGGTGTCTTCCCACAGCCACACATAGGACTCACCCTGAAGCTACTGGAGGACACTAATCACCCCTCCAGGGACACCTGAACCAGGTGTGTAATCAGCCCTGGGCCTAAAAGACAGGTGGGGCTTCACAGAGGCCAGACTAGGCCACGAAGTAAGCGCTGCACAGGAACCAAGAGAGCCATGACATTAGTGCCAGACTGAAATAGGAGTTTTTTTAAATTGCAAAGAAATTATTTTTGAATTTTGAATCATTTATTATTTAATGAATTCCTGCTAGTCACCAGGCATAGGTTTAAAGTACTTTATAGATATTAATTTAAGCCTAAGAAATCTGTGAAAAATATACTATTCATAACCCCACTTTACAAATGAGGAAACTGAAGTGCAGAGAGCTAAAGTAAATTGCCAGAAGTCACTCAGCTAATAAGTGGCAGAACTGGGATCAAACTCAGCCTGACTGGTTCTAGAATTCATGCTTTTAATCACTGCATTTTCTATAATCTCTGTAATCCCATAACAATAACAACCGCCACTAACGTTATCAAATACTGATTAACAAGGAAGTGTAATTATCATCTTCATTTTACAGATGGAGAACATGAGGCTCAGAGAGGTTAAGGAATTTGCCATATATCACACAGATGCTACATGGGGGAGCCTGAATTTAATCCTAGGGAGTCAGACTGCAGAGTCCAGGGAATTCACCACCGCACTAGAGTGGCTTCAAATCCGGCTATTGCCTTTGTGCTCGGAAACATTCCAGCTTTGTTCATATTCTTGGTTTATTTATTGCTCCACTCCCCTCCAAAGCCATCTATAGGTTTTAATCTCTTGGAACAAGGGAACAATCTCACCATATTCTTCATTTTAACTAGATACGTGTGAAGTAGAACATTATCTTTCCTGCCTCCATCTTTTCTTTTCATATGCTTTTCAAATAACAATAATAATAACAAATAGCTAATTTTTCTGAGCTTTTGCTATGCGCCAGACTGTCTTCTATATGCTTTACTTCTATTATTCCAATTAATCCTACCAAAACAAAGCCTTGTTGATAGGTTATCTTCACAGTATGGATAAGGAAACAGGCTCAGAAATGTTAAAACTTCCCCCAAAGTCACACAGCCAATGCTCCCAGAGCCAGCATTCCAGCCAGGGTCATCAGATTCCTCAAGTCCATACTCTTGACCTTTACACTCAACTGCCTCCAGCTCTTAAACGGGTCTGACTATATGTGACTGGTAATGGTATGAGGAAAGAAACACCGCTGGGTTCCAAGGCCAGAGCGCTCTGCAAAGGAGCATCCTTTCCTAGAATATCAGAGAGCTGTTGGCAGCAAAGACCTGGGCTGGTTGGCAAACAGCCTTAGGCCATCCTGACAAGGGAGGTAATACTTGGTTTGTCATCATAATCCAGGGTCACCCAGCTTTGCAGTTCAAGACTGTTTATCACTTCATCCACATGCGATCATGCCCTAAGGAAACAACTGAAGGTGACCTTCCCACAGTGGGTTGATTGGAACTGTGAAATACCTGCATATTGATTTATAAGGCAAATAACCCCTAACAGGAAAGACCAGAGTATGAGACCCACTGGCCAGATCCCCTCAAACACTACATCAGGAAGCTCGAAGTTGCTTATTCTTCTGAGGTAACCTCAGAAGAGCCTGAAGACACTCACCCCATCAGTAAATTATGGGCACCAGAGATAGGCATATTCTGTTCCACTACTTTATAGCTGTGCATCCTTGGGAAAATGGTCTTGCCTCTGTGATGCTGAGTCTTCTCGTTCACAAATCTATCTACAGTTACCTCCTTTCTCAAGGTGTTATTGAAAAGATTAGAAATATCTATAAGACAGATGGCACTTAAAAAATCTCACATGAGTAGCGTCGTCCCCTATGTCTTGATATAGGCAAGGGCCTGCCACTCAGACTGTTACTTATCCATGTAATATCCAAGCATATCCATGTTACTTATCCATGTAATATCCAAGTAATATCCATGTTACATATCCAAGCATCCTTTTCCCAAAATATTACTGGAGAAAAGCTGATAACTCATTTTAATTTACTTTCCTAATATCACAACAAAATACAATTCCTGATTTTGCGAATTCTTTTTTGTTGGTTTCCTTTAGACCAACTGCTTTTTGATGACATTAGTTTCCGAGGAAGCCTTCTCCAGGTCATGCTGGAGGCTGTGTTACTTCCATGCAACTTTCCTATGGGGAAGCTACTCTTTTCTGTGGGATGAGGATTCTTATTTTAGCATGTGCCCCAGAAAATAGCACTTATGGACTCATCTCCAGAGCGGTTACTCATATTTTTTTAGGTTCGTGTGGCTCTCTACCCTCTGAATACAGCACTATTTCCTCATCTCCACTGGCATTCAGCGATAAACCTTAATATCAAAATCTGTCTCTATACTGGGTTTAGAGACAAGTTCCAAAGATGACTGAAGGATTAGAATATCTAATGTATAAAGAAAAGTGAAAGATACCCATGTGCTTTATCTCGCAAAGGCAAGAAACCAGCCATTGCTCACTGAAGAATGGAACAAGAAAAAATGAAATTGTGCTGCAGTGTAAGGGACTAAGAAAAATGTCTGACAGTCTTGTTAAACGTGCATATGAGTTAAATTAGGATGTTGTCGACTCTCCTCTTTTGGAGACTTAAAAGATGTGGTTTAGATGCAGCTATTGGGGACAGTTTAGTTCAGTCCTAGCTGTACCTTGCCCAAGGGCTGACAGATGGATCAGATGACCTCTCAGCATCCCTTCCAGCCCCACACTTCTGTTCTTCTATGCTTGTTGGACTAGATGTTAGCTGAGTCAGATTTGCCCTTGCAAGGTAGTGGAGGAGTCAGCTACTTGAAAGAAAGCAGGTAGACTTTTTGTCCCCAAAATAAATGCCTCTCTACCCTGTTCCAGATTAAATTATGCCACTAGAGGTGTATTTCCTTGAGTCACAAAGTATTTTTAGCGCTCACAGAATGCAGACACAGACACCCAAGTGAAGAGAAGTAATTAACCCTTATCAGGTAAGGGCTTAGCAGGGATCAAGGCCCTGCAACAGACAAAGACTGGAAATGCAGGAAGAGGGAGTCCCAAAGCAGAGAGAAGACAGAGACATCACTGTACAGACAAACCGCCAAATTGGTAGTGTAATTCTAGACTTGTATAGAAAACAGGGCTCTCCTCCCTCCCAGCTAGATTCGGTCATTCTTCCACTGAATGTAGAGCTCCTACCAGGTGCAGAGCACTAGACAAGGCACTGGGGACACTCCAGTGAGCCAAACAGATGTAGCTCCCGCTTTTCTGAAAAACACTGAACACGTGGTGAACATGTAGTAAATTACTATATGGGTTCTACGTGTATGCAACAAATAATGATTGAGTTGCTGATACGCACAAGGCACCATTCTAGGCACTTGGAGTGGGGTGGTAACCAAATGGACAAATCCTTTGCCCTCATGGAGCTTACATTCTGGTCAGAGGAGGTAATGTAATGAAAGAAGCACAAGGTGCTCTAAGAACAAGGACAAAGAGACCTACCCTAGCTGCCGAGTCCTCCCTGAGAAGGGGATGTTTCTACTGACACGTGAAGGCTGAGTAGGAACTGGTGAAAGGCAGGTACTGGGGAAAGAGGAGGCACCTGCAGAATGTCCCATTTAAAGTAACCAAATGTTGTCAATCTACTGCAGTTTTGCTTGTGTAGTAGGAGGAAGGGTAATTTATATCTTTCTTTTTCTTAGTATTATTCAAATATTTGTGTAATAATGAATTTAAATATTGTTAAAGTCATGCTTAAAACTATTTTATCTCATTTTTACCTTGTGGTTTGAATGTGTTGGTCTTTAAACTATGACTTGTAAATTATGGTCAAATTCTATACGGATGTAATTCAGACACCAAATTCAAAATCAAATAGGCATTTTACCCTGATGAGGCAAGGATTGAGTCTAATTCCAGAATGTGTTTGGTGTTACTGTCTGCAAACAAGATAACGTGTTTGACATTGTGACGTGGATCTTTCCCCACCTACATTGAATATGAATTATAGGTTGGTTCCTGCACTACAGGTGGACCTGTGGCAGCCCAGCAGTATCTCCTATGTCTCAGAGGGAGCAGTTACTGATGTGCATATTCCCCAAAACGGTTCCCAAGCCTTGTTAGCCTTCTTACAGGAAGCCAACATCCAGCACAAGTAAGCATTCTTTATCACTTGCTTAATTCATTTGTACTAAACTGAACTGAATGGTAGCTGTGCTCAGGTTATTTATTGAGTGCCTAGCACAGTGTTTCAGTTATATTTATCTTTGATGAGCTGATTACTATAATGGGGGAGGGGAGGGAGACCACACTGACATATCACTACACCATTAAGTGATCAGTGTAAACATAGAAAGTTTTTTCTATGTGAGAAAAGGAGAGCAGCGTAGCAATGCCTAGAAAGTGGATGGGAAGGCATGAGCAGAAACAGCTTCCTTCAGGAGATGCATTGGTTAGCAAAGGATGAGACTTGGGACATGCAGGTGGAGGGGAGAGTGAGAGCAAGGGGAAGAAGCAGCATAGAATGTGTGCGGGGAACTGATGTGTTATTAGTGTACAAAGTACAAGTCAGAAAGTAGAAAGAAAAGATACTGAAGAGGCTGGGGGAGGCCAGGTTGTGGGAAGTTTGATGTATAGTGTAAGGAGCTCAGACCTTATCCTGTGGTTGGTGTTGCACAATTGGAGGATGTAAGCAAGGGAACCACATGTCACTGGGGTGCAGGGACAATAGTAGACTATAATAATAATCCAGGTAACAGCGAGGCCCTGAGTCAGGACCTGAGTAATGGGATCAGGAGAGCACTCAAATAGTTCAGAGGCAAAACCACCTGGACTCGCACTTGGTTGGATGGAGGTAGAAGAGGAAGAAGTCAAGGGTGACTCCAAGTCTTCTAGCTTGGGTGATTGAGTAGACAGAGTCAAACAGATTTGAATATTTTGAGATTTTTGTTTTGTTTTTAGAAATAGTTACATAGTAATAATGAAGCAAGTGGAAGAAAGTCACAGGAGGCAAAGGAGAAATGAAAAACTTTCAACAGAGGGAACAATAATGGTGCCAAAGGCTGCAATGATATCCAGCAAGAAAAGGACTGACCAGTTTCCTTTGGGTTTGGCAATGGAAACTGTGTTGATAACTGTAATGGTGGGATTAGTTTGTTAGGAGTAGAAGACAGAGAAGTGAACAGGAGGTAAGAACAGACAAGTGTTTTCTCACTATAGAAGCAGGGCAGATTACTGCTCTTAGAAGTTATGATAAAGAGAGCAGGAGAGAATGAGGAGCGACTACAGGGAGATGCAGCATCCATGGCTGTCTGAGATTTGGGATTTGTCTGTGTAGGAGGCAATTTTGGCATGGAGGCTGAGGGGAAGGACCAGGAGGGAAGGAGATAGGAATGAATGTACAGATGGAGGAGTGGGTCTGAACAGTAGGAAGGACAGCTTATCCCACAAGACGGAAGAGGTGAATATGGGCCTATTTAAAATTATAGAGAGGAGAAACAACAAGTTGAAAGAGATCATAACTGACAGCTAAATTTTCTGGATGAAGTAAGAAGCAAAATTATCTACTGAAAGTGAAGAAACGGGGGTTGAAGAGAGTTGCAGAGAAGAGAGAGTGTAACCCTGATACAGAGTTAAGGTTTTGTTGGATAGGACCACAGAAAGGTTAGGGTGGCAAGGAAGTTGAAGTTCCTAGTGAGATACTAGCTCATCCATGGGGTCTAATCTGGGTAGGAGAGAGGAGCATCTATGAAGAACGGTAGGACAAAATGGAAGAATCAAGGAAGGTATGAAGACTTTATATCGAAAACAGATATAGTATGACTGAGGGCAACAAATTGGAAAGGAGGGAGTTTTGGCAAAGCACAGGCTATTAGATATTAAGAGTTACGGTGTAGAACATTTAAGGCTGGTGACAAGATTCAACGAATAGCTGTGGAGGAGAAGGCTGAAGTCAAGTGGAGATCATTGAGGCTGATGTGGTCAAGAATGAGTGGGCTTAACCACCAAAGAATCATCACAGTAGTCTTGACTCTCCTTGGCTGATGGCAAGATTAGAGGTGGAGGGAAGGAATATGCTCCTGGGACCGGAATATCAGGAAGTAGCCAGGAGTTAAAGGTAAGCAACTAGGAATGGCATGATGCTGAAAGGAGGATGCGCTTTTCCTGGAAGTTGCAAGAGAGATCTGAAAGCACAAAAGGGAGTTCAGGAGAATGCTGACCCCCCTCCCTTCTGACTCCATGGTAGCTGGAGTGGAAGAATAGGAAGCCGCAAAAGAATCTGTGTCCTTGAGTCCAATTTCTGTTTGGGCAAGAATATGAGACGAAAAAGTTCTCTGAAGAAACTGGAGAATTTAGGAAGTTTATTTACAGTGGAAGAGGGATTCCAACAGGCACAAGAGAAAAGAAAGTGGTGGAGAGATGGAGAGTCAATGCAGGATTTGGGGGGAGAAGGGCAGTATAGTGAATTAATGAGAAGCATGATTGTAAATGACTAGCCTCAACTATTCCAACTTTTTAGCAAGTGGTTGTGCTGCCAAAACTGACACAAAGATCCCTGATGATGTTAGGCAAGGCCTGGGGTGGGTTCATGGCTCTGTGAGCCAATGATGTGAGAGCTCTAGTCTCTGTGGAAGCTTGGGCCAAGTGGCACAAAGTGGCGGTGGACCACACAAATACTTCCCTGCCAGAAAGATAACTACAGCCTTATTAAAGTACTGATATGCTCTTTGCAGAAAGGTATTTTATCTGTGCTTCTAGAACAGGGTAGATTCACAGCTGTGCATAAAACTATTGTTCACAATGAACACATTTTAGTCATTCTATAGCTTTGAAGGTGTGCTTTGATTCTTTGAATGCCTGGCAGGAGAGAGCTTGGTAATTACATCTATAGGTGCTCAGTAACAGTTCACATGGTTTATTAATTATTATTCCATAGAAAAGAGTATACCAGTTATTTTAACAAGTCTCTATTTCCTGCCATTAAATATGGGTCATGTGGAACTGATACAGAATAAAATATCACACTTTATGTCACAAAGAATAAAGTCTAAAAAATGAGTGTTTTAAATCAGTTGTCTCCTCATGGAGAATAATCATTTAGAATTATTCATTTTGTTGGTCCCAAGATAATAGCACATAAGAGTCAATTAAATTCCACAGGACCAGTAGGTACAGATCATTTTAATTGACTTTTATTATTGTATCCTGGGGTATTTTCAAAAGATTATCATTTACTCTGTACAGCTATACATAATGTATAGCTATAGTCATTTTTAAAGCAGAGCTAATGTGACCCCAGGTGTCTGGCCCCCAGATAATCAACCTGCTCTCAATGACATGACAGATGAGATGACTCATTCTGCCATAAAAATTTTTAATCATTTTGTAAATTAAAAACCTGTAAAAATTGGTAATGGAATTTTAAGTATTTTGAGCCTCCCCCACCCCACCCTGGAAGCTTTGAGGAGGTGGCTTTGCACTGAGTGATGACGTCACTTGGAAAGTTCTTAATAGTGTTAGTCGCTATTGCAGGAGCACCTATAGTTGGGGTAGGAATAATAATCAGCTGTAAGGAACTAAGAAAATACAACACAGAAATCTTTTTTGAGCTCAGTTTCATGGACCTCTCATCAATCTGCTGGTTTTCACTCAACTACATGACAAGGAAAGTGGGGCTAACCTGGCCACATCACAATTATTTATTTTAATTTTCAGGTTGGTCTCCTTGGGCCTGTATTTAGACACAGTCTAAGTTATTGAATGGAGACCCTGTATCAGTCTGCTGGGGCTTCTGTAACAAAGGACCACAGACTGGCTGTTTTAAAAAACAAAAATGTATTGTCTCGTGATTCTGGAGGCTAGAAGGCTGAAATGGAGATGTTGGCAGGGTTGGTTCCTTCTGAGGGCTGTGAAGGAAGGATCTGTTCCAGGCCTCCCTCCTTGCTTTGCACATGGCTGTCTTCTCCTTTTGTCTCCTCATATTGTCTTCCCTTTCTGTGTGTCTATCTTTGTGTCCTAATTTTCTCCTTCTTTTTTTTTTTCAATTGTGGTAAAATATACATAACACAAAGTTTACCATTTTAACCATTTAAACATACGATTCAGTGGCATTGAGTACATTCACATTGTTGTGCAACCACCAGCATCATCCATTTCCAGAACTTTTTCATCTTCCCAGAGTGAACTGATTTCCCCCTTTTTGTAAGGACACCAGTCATATTGGATTAGGGCCCATCCTAGTGACCTCATCTTCACTAATTACACCTGCAATAACCCTATTTCCAAATAAGGTCACATTCTGAGGTACTAGGGGTTAGGACTTCAATGTACGAATTTTGAGGGGGACACAATTCAACCCATGACAGAGCCTAAAACACGATGGCTTAACTGAAATAGTTTACTTCTCCATCATGTGACAGTCCAGAGGTCAGCAAGCTGTTGCTGTGCTACTACTGCCACCACTGTCATTACCATCACCATCTCTCATGCCATGAAGCTGGTGACAGGACACTGGAGTGCTGAGTTCAGCCACCCAACCACCTCTGAAAAGTCACATCTCTGTGATCTCAACATGGTCATAGCAACAGCAGCAGGAGATGGCTTCTGCCTTGCCCTTAACTTCCTATCTTGTCAGAGTTCACAAATTTGTACCTAGAACCCTAGCTGCAAGGGAGTCAAGGCAAAGTAGCTTTCAGCTTCCCAGCCCTTGCAGTACAGGAAATTCCATAAAGTGAGTAGGGATAAATGCTGAGAGGCAGTCGACCATATCCAGCACAGACACTCAAGAGAGGAAAGAGGAAGCAAGGATCAGCCATATTCTAATACTCTCTTCCTTTTTTATTTAACGTGGGATCTGAGACGACTGATAGCCATGAGTTTCCTGATTTAATTAGCCTAAAGTACTGGTTTCTGGATTGTTAGCCTAAATTTGATCCTGACGATATACTAAAATCATCCGTTGAGCTTTTAAAATGGACTGATATCTATCCACAGAGATTCTTTTTAAAGCTCATAGGTGAATTTACAGCAACCCAGCTTGAGAATCACTGGCCTAAATGACTGGATAAATACCAGGGATCCAAAGGCTAGCTCTATTTAGACTTTAAAATATGGAGACTTTAAAATAAGACTGAGAAGCTTAAGAGTTTATTCATCAAAGGAGCTAAGACCCAACCAGAGTGATTCCATACAACCTCAAACCAAAATCTTTATAATTTTCTTACTTTGGTGAAAATACTAGCAAACTTGACTAGAAAATGTAAAATCTTTTGTAAGAGCAATTATCCGTTAGAATTATTTTGACAATTCTCTGGGTATTTCATTATGTGATTAGTAATATGTTATGTCACTTATCAATTGATAGTGATAAATGATAAAGAATCTAATCAATTAAGAAGCATAGTTTTTTGCACTGAACCTCCTGGGAAAGTATTACTTTTCTAAAGGGAACAATGGTTGTTCTATCAAGAGCTGCCAAACAAACAGATGGATCAGCATCAGAACTTCAGAACTTTCCAATGATGACTGCGAGGAATTGCTCTTACCTTGAGTAGAAATGAGTTATCTGCACTTGTTTCTATTTGGAAGGACTGTCCCCTCTGGAAATACTGCAAAAGCAATACACTACAGCACAATTTTGTAAACGTTGTAAAAATTTTTTTAAGCCCTTGAAAACTTTCTATCTTCGTGTTTATGTTTTTTTATCTTTTTAAACTGAGAATTCGGAAAGAGATTCTTATGCAGATTGCTGGCTTTGGCGATCTATTTACATTTGTTTCCCTTAGTTTCCTGGGATAGAGAAAAGTAGCTAGGAGAAATGGATAGATGGTACCAGTGAGGGAAACATATCTGAAGATCTCCTGCGGTAACTGGAATACATTGACAGCTTGTAACCACCTCCACCATAATCGCACTTCCGTCTTTCTTAACCATCCTAGATCTCTCACAACACAGGAAGTTTGGACATTAATATACGGGTTTATTTGGTTCTTAAGACCCATGTTGACAATATTGTAAACTCCTTTAGTCCGTAAAAACCTACTTTCATCTGTAACTTCTTTCCTTGAGGGGAGAAAGAAAGCACTAATACAGATCGTGTTCAGACTGACGATATTTAACACTCCCTGTACATTTTGAGCCACTGCAAGCAACTATCAAGCAAGTTTACCAAGTTTCTGCCATTCCACCTTGTCTTGATATTTAAAGTCAAAAATTGAAACAAAAAGAACAGTAAGCCAATGACCAATTCCTGATTAAGTATTTTCTCCATGATGGATACTCAGTAATAATGAATGAGTAAATCAAAAGGAATGTCCTATGCCCAGCATGACCCTAAGCAAATCTACTTCCTTCATGAACCAAAAAGTGTTTGTTCAGGTAATTCAAGAGAAGTTTTTTAATTAAATGGCTTACAAGGATCAGCCTTGAAAGCATTTAAAGATGCCATTACATGTTCTTTTAATAGCACTTAAACCACTAAGCAACAGGTTCTTTTGGAAGGTAAAATATGAAAGCAAAGCTTTTTGGCTAACTTCCAGCCCAGAAAAATCACTGAGCTGCTCTTGTGCGCTTTAAGTATTCCAAATGAGTGAGCGAGCGCCTGTTACTCTAGTCTACTTAGAAGGGACGGGGGAGTATTGGGGAGACAAGCCTGTATCTAGCTCAGACGTCTCATCCAGAACATGAACGGCTCCAGCAGGAGCTGGTTCTACACATTGCAGTGGCCCTGGAGTCCCGCACCCTGGCCTCAGCCCGCACTTTCCAAATGCATTCACTTTTATTAGCTTGTCTTCTCTTTGGCATTCTTGACACCAGCAGGCAGTGAAATAGCTTTTTCTGACTCTGGGTATTTCTTCAGTTTCCTCTTGAGGACTGTAGCTCTTTCCTCCTTTCCGTTTTCTGAGTTTTGGGTCAGGTGTGCTGGGTGAAGACAGAGAAGTCTCTCAGTGATGAAATGGATGGGAACAGATAGAAGCAGCAGGAAGGGAGGATGTGGCAAGGGAACAGAGGAGCTTGTCTGGTTTCAGTTTTCATAACGTCACATTGGACTTGGAGTCTAGTTATTAACTAGTCTTAGTTATTAACTAAGATTGTGTATGTAAAATACCTAGCAGAGTGCCTAGCAGCTGGTAGGTCCTTAATAAATATAAATGCTCGTACCCATTATTGGTTCTTGTAGCTGCTCAATCAATGGTAGTCGTTATAACTATTATTATTATTATTTGTGAACATCTGCCTATAATTTTACATTTTGTATTCATTACACCATCTATTTAACAGTTTTTCTTTCCTGAAAAAGAATATTTTCCCAACATTCAGTAATTTAGAAATGTCAATCTTTGCTGTCCTTATTTTCATAGATGCATAATTTTCTTTTGATATTGCCTGATTTTTATATTATCACCATTTAATTTTCATTGTGTCTATCATTTCAAATCCAGGATCCTCATAGAAGATCTTCAGAAAGCACTGGAAAAGGGGAGCAGTTGGCGAACCCAGAGAAATCGAAGATCCCTCTCTGAATATAATTATGAAGTTTATCACTCCTTAGAAGAAGTATGTAATCACAAGAGCTTTCAGTGCTTTTTTACAAATGCATCTTTATCATTTAGGTCTAAGGATTGGGAGAGAAGCATAAAGACAGAGGCAGAGGCTACACGAAGAAAAGGTCTAGCTCTTATATTGTGTAGTCACCTCAGTTCAGTTATCTCTTCCATTAAGCTTTTTACTGCTGTAATAAGAAGTAGCAAAATAATTTGAATTTCATATGCTTTACCCAACCCACCTCTACAAAGGACATGGGAAGTACTGGGGAAGAGCGAGGTAATGTTGCTGTAATTGTAGTTGTAAAGACACTAACTAAGAAGCCACGGAAGGTAGAGTTAGCCAGACTCTGAGGACAACGATTTTGTGAGGGGTAGTGAACTTTCCTGCTTGCCCCACACCCTCTGCAGCTGAGACCTCCAGAGGTCAAGCCTCATTTGTACAACCTGAGGGCCTTTTAACATGCAGTTGTTTATTCTACCTAGAAAATACAGCAACCCCATCCTCACCGCCACATCCTTTACTATTCACCTGGACAACAACTACCTATTCTTCAAATCTCAGCTTAAGCAAGAAGAGAACTGTTTCTACTCTCCCAGACTGGCTCAGAACTCCCCAACCCCAACCACAGCATCTTACATCCATCAATAGCACATGCATGTGACACCTATCATAGTTTTTAATTATGTAATTATATGACTATTTGATTAAGGCCTTTCTCTCCTAATAAGCTGCAAGTTCCATGAGGGCAGGCCATTTCTTTCTTGGTCACCACTATAACCCCAGTGGCAAGCAAATAGATAGCTGTTGACAGACTGAATAAATGAATGAGTACATACATTTTCCATGCTTCCCCTGAACTGAGCAAAGAAATGTCAGACATAGGATTAATGAGATCCTGTTATATTCTTAAGAGAATATATGGTTCTCTTAGTAATAACTTTCTTTTCAAAATTATTTCCACATATTTCATGTTTCAACATACTTTTTAGGAGCTTGAAATTAGAAGCAATGAAAGGTTTTAGATAACTTGGCACATGGGAGTGCTATTAACATGCACTAGAAAACCAATTTTTAAAAATATATCTATATAGATATGTACATACATATATATACACATAGACACACATATCTATATATAGATAGATAGATATCTTGCTCATTAGACTAAAAAAGAGTAGGAAAAAAAGAAAATATGGATGCTATCCAGAATTTATTTTTTTATCACAGACTCTTTCTTGCACATCATGGAACAGTGGGACACTTTTGTGTGACTCCCTTACTCCTTGCAAGCCTTTTTTAAGTCAGAAATGTCATCCATCTTTCTAAGTGCCTTATTCATCCATCTCAAATATACCTTCTCCTGATGACAGATAAGTGTGTATGACTAGATCAATGCAAATGTATTGCTGTTACTGGGGAAATTATTCAGTGTGCCCTCCGATGTGTGGCTCGATAGACTAACCTTTAAATGCAAAAGATAAAGCCTTTTTCTTAGCATCTTCTGTTGAGCGGCAAATTGCAGTATGCGGAACTTGGATAAATACTTTCAAGTAGTTTAGATGGTTTTTCTGAAGCTGATTCATTTCTTTCCTGTTAAAGACTTGGGGGAAAATGGAAATAAATTTTGATTTTCAGAAAGAACTCAGAACACATTGATTAATTTTCTATAAAACTCTGCCATCAAGATATTAATGATAAGTTGTAGTGGAAGGTGTGCTTTGAAAAGGGAACAATATAAAGACATGAAGCTAGTATTTGAAAAGGCAGAAAATGTAATTTTAAGTATCCCGAAGAAAATTAAAAATATTAAATTGATTTTTGTTCAATTTTATACTCTATGTATGCTCTTTGAATTCTGAGATTTATTCTTGTCTTTGTGTTCTCTAAAAGCTCTGTAATTGTGAGAGTCTGACATGCTTTCCATTTATTTACTTTTAGATTCAAAATTGGATGCATCATCTGAATATAACTCATTCAGGCCTCATTCACATGTTCTCTATCGGAAAATCGTATGAGGGAAGACCTCTTTTTGTTTTAAAGGTAAAAATAAGAAATTATTAAATTAATAAGTATTTACTAAACATTCATCCTTTTCAACTTTGACTGATGGGGAAAAGAAATGAAATGGCCTTTCATAGTGTCGGATATTTAACATCTTCTGATAATTTAAGAAAAAATTTTCCCTTAGCTTTTTGAACCATATTTAATTTTTGCCGTTGAGTATTCCAGAGAATACTATTTTAACATATTTAGAGTTATTGGTGCACTTAAAAAATTAATGGCCTTCAAAATTACTTGTGAGTTGGTGCTACTTAAGATGAACCAACGCAAAACTGCACAAATGTGTCAGAAGGTATGTGTCATTCCCAGCCCTTGACCCTGCATTCTCTTCTAGCTGCTCACCTACGGGCCCTCCATTCCTTCTCAGTCAAACATCTAAAAAGATTTACCTATGACTTCCTCCCCTGCCATTCAGACTCACTGAACTTTGCCCCCACGATTCCTCTAAAGCTTCTCTTGCCAAGATCAACAGCGACTCCTAGTCTGTTCTCTCTAGTCTCTAGTCTCTCTGACCATTCCCTCCAGTCTCACTCACTGGCTCCTCTCCCTGTGTCCTTTCCCTAGGTTCTGGTAATCCTAGGATTCTATTGTCAGATGTGGTCTCACTCTACCAACTCTCTACATGGGCACACCCACCCCACACTTTCAACAGTCATTCCAGACTTTTCTATTCAGTGGAGTTCACTCTCTCGAGCTGTAAATTTATTTCATGCCTTCTTGACATTCTCATCTTAATATTCACGAGAACATCTTAAGACTCAGAATGGCACCAGTAGGCTCCCAGTCAAGAAACATGAGCATCACCCTAAATTCCTCTCCTTTATTTTAACCACTTATTTTAAATCTATCACCAAGAACTGACGATTCTTTCTTCTAAACATCTTTTGCATCTGCTCCAACCTCTTCTCTGGTCCTTACCGCTGTTTCCCTAACTTACCTCTGGATCCATTCTCTCTGGACCATTGCAGTAACGGGCTCAGTACTGAACTTCCTGTCCAGTCCTCATCCTCTACCCTTTCATCCTCTAATCTATCTCTACACTGATGTCAACGTAAGCACAGGCTCTCACTCACACATGCGTACATACACACGTCCCATGAAATACAGGATGAAGCCTTATCTCTATTCGATGGTATCCAGGAATTTCACGTGTCCTTTGCCTCTGTGCCTCCGCCATTTTTCTTCAAATCCCGGAAGCAGTTCCTCAAATATGGTGGGATCAGATTCTCTTCCAAGCTTGAGATGCTTTCTTCCAACTTGTCTGCCAGGCGAGCTTCAAGTCTTGCTCAGCTATCCAAGTGCTCCTCTTCTGAGAAACATTCTTTTCTTCCCCAGGAAAATTAGACATAGCATTCCCATGTTCCCAAAGTAACTTACGCATATTAACATCATAACGATTGATTGCTCATGTCTGCCCTCCCCACGAGCATATAAATTCCTTATCTTTTCATCTTTGAATCTCCAGTGCTGAGCACAATGTCTGACATTGAAAAGGATTTTCCTGAAGTATTAGTTGAGTGAATTAATGAATGAATGAAAAGTAGACACACTATAAATATAATGTCAAGAGCTACCTATTGATTACTGGGTTAGAAACCACATTTAAGTAATATTGATATAATATGATTGTAAAGAAAAAATCTGTCACTTGATTCTGCAAATCAAGTGGTTTTGTTTTTCCATTTTGTGTTATAATGAAATTTGACTTTGTCATCTATAGAACAAAGCTATTTGTTTAGGAAATATTCCTTGGGAATATTTATGATTCCTTGGGATTCTGATTCTGATTCTCTTGGTGGCAGGGAGCGGCAAGGGAGGGAAGAGGAGAGGAAAAAGGAGGGATGGAGGGGAACTTAGCATTTTACTTAACAGTCACATATTATATTAAAACAGAGAAGCAAACCTATTTAAGGGATTGCCCTTTTCCTTGTGTATTTTCTAGTTCTTTGTTTTGTAATTAGGGTAATAAATTTATTGTTTCTGCATAAACAAGCCTGGACTTCTGAAATAGATAGGAACACTCTTTGTCTTTTTTATGGGTTACCTGATGAACCAAATTATAGTGAAGAATGATGCTGAAATTTGTATTAAATTATGCTGGTCAGTGAAATCTAAAAATAAAAGCCTGAGTTGGTTACTATGAATCGTCTTGTTTTTAGCTGGGCAGAAGATCACGAGCGTACAAAAGAGCCGTCTGGATGGACTGTGGTATTCATGCAAGAGAATGGATCGGTCCTGCCTTTTGTCAGTGGTTTGTAAAAGAAGTAAGTGAAACCCTTTACACAATGCCCATTTCGGCTAATCAGTGCTTCCCATGTGTTTTTATTCTGCTCAAGGAACAAAATTGGGAATTTGAAGCCAGCAATACCTGACTGAATGATAATAACACTTTGATTTTGTGGGTTGCTTTCATGTTTATGAAGACCTCTTCTAAGCCTGGCTCAGTTTATCCTCGCCTCTGCCCTTGGAGGTAGGCGTTACAAAACCTCATTGAAAAGAAAGAACCCGACAAATTAGGAATGAAACATAGTAGCTGATATATGGGGGAAAGCTAAAAATCTAATTTATGGTGTTCCAGAGCAGTTTCTCATAGGATATTCAGCTGGAAAATTCTACATCACTTGTCTTTTCCATTAAAGTGACCTCACATATGCTGTAACAATAAAGAGATGAGCAAGTGCTCGCATTTTGCCCTCCTGCTATGGATCTATAATTTAGATACCAAAGACCTTTAGCATCTGTGGATTTAACATTCTCAGTTTCCATATTTTTCAGTGATTCTAATGGCCAATGACTCATAATGGTTTCCATTTTCTGAAGGCTTCATTTAAATCATAAATCCGAGGCTTAGTGTATCGAGTGGGTTCTATACCAAGAGTGGGCCAACCTCATGGACCAACATCATATCATGTTCTGATATTTTTCTATTCATTGTCAAGAGTGCAATGACTTTCATAGGTTTTTTTTAACCTTGACTTCTTAGTTTTTTATTTTTAAATAAGACTCTTAAAAGAAAACTAACCCTAGTACTGGTAATGAAAGTAAAGAAGTCTGAGGAAATGAAGGTTCTAAGCCAGAAAATAACCCTAAAAATTTCTTATAGAGAACCATTAGGGATACAAAAGATATTTCAGTTGAATTTCACTGTGTTTTATGGAGAAATTATGTGCCCTCCTGAGGTTTGTGATTTTGAGGACTCTCCTAGTATTGGAAAATGTCTCTCACAAATGTCAAGAAAGTACTAAATTTGCAAAATCTGCCTCACTGTCACTCCCAAACCCACAAAAGGATCCTTAATTTTCCAAATATTATGTAATAAAATTTTCAAACTGTTCCCACTCAGTGTGTTGAGCAATTTATAGTCTCTTAAAATACCATTTATTCTGGTAGGACAAATACAAAAGATAATAAGAAATTAATTCTCTTACCTCGTATTAAATATCCATTATATAAATACAAAATATCTGCTGTCTCAACTTCCAAAAAGAAAAGGGAAAGAAATGGTTAAGTACGGAAGATCTATTGTTTATAGACTACGGTCCTGTGTATTATTGAAGGACATAAGCATATATCTCCCAAACACTTTACCTCATCCCTACACGTGCAACTTCTTCTTTATAACACCTAAACTTACTTTATTTGTTCATGTGGTTATTGTCTGTCTTTTCCTGTACCCATGCCAAGGGCAGAGACGCTAATTATCTTGTTCACTGCCAAATCTCCAGCATCTAATTTTCAAATATTTGTAAATGAATGAGAATGAGAATCCAGTGGTAATGATATGGAAAGATTTCTGGGAGATGACTTGTCAAACCATGTCATAGGCTATGAATGGTACCAGCTGGATTTTTGCAGTGCACAATCTGTACAGCCATATTGGGCAGTCCCTATAACCCAAGCTAAATTTCCAAGAAAGAGGAGACAAAGTGTAACTACAAAAAAAAGAAGAGGCGAGCATAGTGACTGTCAATTGAGGGAAGTTGATTTAGGAGCAAGATTATGTTCCATCTCACCAAAGAGATAAAAGGAAGGGCTTCTCCCTCCTCCCTCCCACAGCAGGCTGTCTTCAAGCAGACAGATGAGTCCAGACATTCTGTGCCTCTGCTGCCCTTTCCACACCTCTCTCACTCTTGCTCTTATGGCTGTCACTTGCCCCTCTACGTTATCACTTACATTTCCCATCTGAGTCAGGGAAGCAACCAGAAATTGAAAAAAGGAGGCCTATGGGTCACTTGTCCCAGTGTCCTTGTGGAAGCAATGGTGCTGCCAAATGTGACAGCCACATGGTAGCAGTGACTGGAGTGAGTCAACATTTACACATTACAGGCTTGTAAGAAATGTTCTCATCTTGCTTGAAAGCCCTGACTATTTGGTGGGGCAGGGGAGGCTGGTGGCAGGGGCGGGGCACAGAAGGAGTAAGGACTTCAAAGATTTAAATAACCTTAAACCCGCCAAGCATTGGAACATAAGCTTTTACACACTCAGTCCCTCGTTAAATCTTCAGTCTCCGAAAAAAGGCAGGGGTGGCCGCTCCAAGAGGGGCTCTAGGCAGCGTCCCTTCCACAGGTCATCTCCCCTCTGCCACAGATGTCCCATGACCAGCTCCCGAGCTGTTACCTTATCTAATTTCCATGCCACCTCTGGGAGCCTCTGGGCTCTTTCTCTGCCGCTCAGGAGACTGTAGGATGCTGTGTCTGGCCCTCTCTTAGCTGATACATGCCACACTGCCGATTGTCCCTCTGCATTTGCCCCTTTTTGGCATGTGACGATCATGTGAGGCAATGTCATCTCAGACATGCTGGACAGGACAGAGGTCCTCTTTTCTTACATTTTCTACCCCAATCTGTCAGTGGTTTCTGCCATCTCTTGTTTTCCTGGAGTTTTGACCCCAAGAGAAGGGGTGGTGTCAGAAGCCAAAAGTTTGACTTCCTACCTTTGCTTTCTCTCTTTCTTTGGTACTTTTCCCCAAACTCAACCCCTTAAAACAACAAACATTTATTACCAGATAGTTTCTGTGGGTCAGCAATTCAGGCACATCTTAGCCAGGGGCCTCTGCTCAGGCTACAGTAAAGGTCTCAGCTGGAGCTTCGGTCGTCTTGAAGATTGTGTGGGAGGATTTGCTTCTGAGCTCACTTACGTGACTGTTGGCAGCCTCGGGTCCTCCCTGCCTGTGAGCCAGAGACATCAGTTCCTTGCCATGTGGGTCCATCTCCATCGGGCAGCTCACAACACAGCATCTGGCTTCCGTCAGAGCAGAAGAGGGAGAGAATGAGAGAGAGAGCAGACCCAAGATGGGAACCACAGTCTCTTTGTAATCTAATCTCAGAAGTGACCTCCCATCACTTTTACCATGTTCTGTCCATTAGAAGTGATCGCTAGGTCCAGACCGTATTAAAGGAGAGGACATCACACAAGAGCATGGGTACCACCTTAGAGGCTGTCCCCACAGCTACCACTATAATGTTTGCATCATTACTCAAATGTGAACTAAAAGAAAATACATCAAGCCCTTCTGGGATCCTGATAGAATAGCAGATTGCATAGAGATTATGTGCACACATTTAGTAGTCAGACGACAACCCTGGGTTGGAATGCCAGCTGTGTGATCTTGGTAGGCATGTTGTTTAACCTCTCTGAACCTCAGTAATAATAATATGTGACACATTGGGTTATAGGGAGGATTAAACGATATAATGTGCGTAAAAGACTTAATAGAGTGCTTGGCATATAATAAGCACTTAATAAAATCAACTCTTATTAGTAGTATCAGCAATTTGATAATTTTAAATAACCCATGTACAGAGAATAGTTAAAAAGAAAATCAGCAAGGATATGAAAGAACACAACACCATCAACCAATAGGATCCAACAATGTTTATAGATCCTTCCACCAACAACAGTAGAATACACATTTTTTTTCGAGTGCCCATGTAACATACACCAAGATATACCATATTCAGGGCCAAAAAAGAGACCTCACAAATTTAACAGAACTGAAATCATACAGATTGTGTTCTCTGACCACAATAAAATCAAACTAGATATCAATAGCAGAAAGATAAAGGAAAACCTCCAAATGCTTGGAAATTAACATGCTTCTTTGTTTTTGTTTGTTTGTTTGTTTGTTGCTGCAGTAACTTTGGTTTATAACATTATATAAATTTCAGGTGTACATCATTATATTTCGATTCCTGTGTAGATAACATCGTGTTCACCACCCAAAGACTAATTACAATTCATCACCACACACATGTGTCTAATCAGCCCTTTCACCCTCCTCGCTCCCCCCTTCCCCCTCCCCCCTTCCCCTCTGGTAACCACCAATCCAATCTCTGTCTCTGTGTGTTTGTTGTTTTTATCTCCTATTTATGAGTGAGATCATATGGTATTTGACTTTCTCCCTCTGACTTATTTCGCTTAACATAATACCCTCAAGGTCCATCCATGTTGTCACAAATGGCAAGATTTCATCCTTTTTTATGCCTGAATAGTATTCCGTTGTGTATATATATCACATCTTCTTTATCTATTCATCCCTTGAAGGGTGCCTAGTTTTCTTCCAAGTCTTGACTATTGAGAATACTGTTGCGATGAACATAGGGGTGCATGTATCTTTACACATTCATATTTTCATGTTCCTTGGATAAATACCCAGCAGTGGCATAGCTGGATCATACGGTAGTTCTATTCTTAATTTTTTGAGGAATCTCCATATTGTTTTCCACAGTGACTGTACCAGTTTGCATTCCCACCAGCAGTGTATGAGAGTTCCCTTTTCTCCACATCCTCTCCAACACTTGTTATTTCCTGTCTTGTTAATTATAGCCATTCTAAAGGGAATGAGTGATATCTCCTTGTAGTTTTGATTTGTATTTCCCTGATAATTAGTGATGTTAAACATCTTTTCGTGTGCCTGTTGGCCATCTGTATATCTTCTTTGGAAAAATGTGTGTTCAGAACTTTTGCCCATTTTTAAATTGGGTTGTTAGGTTTTTTGTTGTTGAGATGTATGAGTTCTTATTTTGGATATTAACCCCTTTTCAGATATATGGTTTGCAAATATGTTCTCCTAATTGTTAGGTTGTCTTTTCATTTTATTGATAGTTTATTTTGCTGTGCAGAAGATTTTTAGCTTGATGTAGTCCCATTTGTTTATTTTTTTTACTGTTCCTCTTGCCTAGTCAGACACAGGACTTGAAAATATGCTGCTAAAACCAATGTCGAAGAGCATACTGCCTATGTTTTCTTCTAGAAGTTTCATGGT